GAGCCAGCCTATCATTACAACTGCCTGGCATCTTGAGCAGAGCCCAGTCAATAAACTTCAGGCCACTGTGGGCTCTGCCATGTGCCTGCTCTTTGGCCTCATCTCATGCAGGCCTGGGACTCAGAGCAGCTGGCTTCCACCTCTGATCCACTAAGGCATACTCCCTCTGTGTTAAGGCCTCCCCAGCAGCAGACACAGTTTTCAGCATATTTCACATTTAGTTTATCCTTGCAGCAACCCTATAAATTCAATATTATCTCCCCCTTGTATGAAAAAACATACTCAGAAAGGTCAAATCATCCATCCAAGGCTTTTGGCCTCAGTGTAGATTATGTTCCGTGGTGAAAACCCTTTGTTCACGGTCCTGGGTTCAATGCCCAGCACTCTAGAAACCATAATCATAATAAGTAATAAGAAAAGTAGTTCCCTGGTGAATCTGTCAGAGATCAATCCAGGCTGCTAACTAGTCCCTTCCTTCCATTGCTTCCCTTCATGAAAGCCTCGGGTCTTAACGTGGTGGAGGAAACTTGCTGTCCATCCTGAGGGGTCCCTCTCGAACCCCACGGGCCTTTTCCTGTATTCAGAGCCTGGCTCTCTGCTGCCGGAGGCCTTCAGCTGTTTGGAGGGGCTCCTTGTGGTCTCCCATTATCATTAATGGATCAGCCCCTTCGGAAGGCTTCCAGAGGCCTGGGCTGCCAGTCATAAAAGTTAGGCCGCATGTTCCAGAGTGCTATGTGGAGGAGGAATTCTATTAGAGGGCTTTGCATCTGGAGTTTTATAATGGTGCCTCCAGGCAAAAAAAATTAAAATGAAACCACCAACCAACAACACCCCCCCAACACACCACACACACACACACACACACACACACACACACACACACACACACACACGCAGTTCCAGCTTTCCCCACCGCAAGATTTCTGACTTGGTTAAATAGAATTCATTAATAAGCAGAGGGAAAATCACTCCAGGCAGTTTACTCTTGAAAATGTAAGCTGTTAAAACATTTTGTGGTTACAAGCATTCTGAAAATCATGCGTTTTCTCCAGCGTTTTGGGATTTCTCAGAATTAGAGATCTTCTGGTGCAGGCAGGCAGGAAATCTTAAGGAGATGTTCAAGTCTGAGTCAGTCCACCTTTCCACAGGGTTTAGAGTGGGGACTTGCATGGAAGTTTGAAACCCAAAGCCAGCATGTGTTTGGGCTTCCCTTGCCTTCAGTCCCCTTATTTTTCCTTCTGAAAATACAGCTTATTCTCAGAGGTGTGTGCTGTGTACATGAAATCCTCGGTTCCCATTTAGGTACCAGATTGTCTGATTTTAGTTTCTCTCTCTCTGTGTGTGTGTGTCTCTGTCTCTCACTCTCACTCTTTCTCTCCCCCAACCCTGTGTCTCTGCCTCTTTTTCTTTCTTCTCACTTCTCATGCGCGCGTGCGCGCGCGCACACACACACACACACACACACACACACACACACACACACACACACACACACACGAGTACAGCACACACAGCTTCCTAGGATGGGGGTAGTGTTCTAGAAAGTGCCCAAGAAGAGACAGGACCCTGGGAGGAGGGGACCGTGGAGCCTTCTTTGTAGGGGGGTTCCCAACCTGTCTTTGTCTGAAAACTGGGCAGGCAGCCAGCCTTGGCCCAATGGATTGGCGTGCTTGGCCTCCAGCCCAGTGAGGGATCTGACTGTCATTTCCCCACCCCCAGTGAGGCAGGAGGCAAACTGAAAAAAAAAAAGGACGAGGAGGAGAAAACAGAGCTGAGTCTGGGAAATGAGGGAGGAGGGGTGACGGGGAGACAGGGCTCAGCTGGGAGGTGGGGACCCGTGCGGTCCCTGGCCCCTTGTCAGCCCCCTTTCCTCTGCTTGAATCCATTATGAAGGACCAGGAGGTAACAACTCCATCAGAGGGACACCACGGCCGTCAGGCAACAAGGCTGTTACTCTAACAATGAGACCCTGGTAAGCATCAATCTTCGCTTAAAGACTCTGAGAAGGGAGTCAACAGTTAGTGTCTTTGGAAGTGAAATCCATCATTTAGTGCCCCCTCGCAAATGAGAGATGCTGGTCATCTTGGAACCCTGTGCCATTCAAACTGGCAAACAATTTGATCCACAGTGTGTGTGTGTGTGTGTGTGTGTGTGTGTGTGTGTGTGTGTGTGCATCTGGTCTTCTATTAGTGTTCTTTCTTAAAATAATAAAACTGTATTAAACACTGACTAAAGAAAGAGACATCCTTCCCCATGCTCAGCTTCAGCCACTCATCCAAAAGATCAATCCCTACATGCTTAAAATATGTTCCCACGGGCAGGACACTGAGGCTACAAACACGGAGAAGCCAGCAAAATGGCAACTTCTGCAACCACCAGGAGAAACACAGACTGTAATGGTGATGATCATGCCTCTTTGAATGGGTCTTATTTTTTCTGCAAAATTTTTATATTGTATTACTATTCATAGATGTATTTCTTTAAGTTAACTTTGTGGCATGTCAGAGATTCGAAAAATCTTAGAAGCCATGTAGCTCAATGACCCTTACTCTTATAGGGAGGGATGGATCAGTGAGCAGTCCAAGGTCAATCAGGAGGAGCAAGTGGAGAGTGCACTAGAATCCATTTCCCTCCTCACACCTCCTCCGCCTTGGTCAGTTGAGCAGTTTGCAACTCAGGTGTGTTTGAACAGAGAGTTTGCTCCTGGGTATTTATATTAAAATAGCAAAAGCCAAACGTCAATGCATCCTATTGAGCAGGACACTGTCTGTACTGACAGACGCAGTGGAAGGGAATTGAAAACATTATTTCCAGGTTGTTTGTGCCACAGAAATCCAACAAAAGATGAGTGCAGCACACTGTGGTGATTTTCTCTCAGACCCTTGCTCTTAAAATTACATTCTTTCCAGGAGAACTCCACTTCGGGAAGTCATAAAGAGGTGACATGAAATGGAAGCTAAGACTGTGATGGTTAACTTTAGCTGTTGGAAACTAAGAGACTGGATGACGTTATATATAGTCCAGGGGTCCAAGAGGATAGTAGAATGGAGAGTAACCTCCCATTGCAGAACAGTCAGCAAAACTTGGACAGTATGGTCCCCAACAACTCCCAAATATTCAGTGCTGCTCAATGACTATTGCATATAGTTCAAAAGCCATCTCTCTCTCCCCAAGAGTTTGACTCCCGGGGCAAGGATACATGGCCCAGCTGCTCCAAAGAGCTTTTACTTGCTCATTTCGGGATCTCCAGAGCTCTCTCTTCATTTGTCAAGCAATGAGCATGACTCAATGAGCAGTCAGCTCCTGAGAGCAGTTGTTCCCTCAGCCTGGGACCCTGAGTGAGGAGACACAGCGGGACCCTGTGATGGCACAGACAGAGGAAACCTTATCCTGGGCACTGTCGGGGAGCGTATCCCAGGCTGGCAGACAAATGAAATAGTTTACAGCAGCTAATGGAATGTGTTTATTTAAACGGTGATAACTAACATTTCTACAGTGCTTACCACGTGATAGGCCTGTTTTAAATATTGGCATGTACCTGCCTATCTGTCCTCAGGACAGTCCTGTTGGGTAGAAGCCATTATGATCCCTAAGTAGAAAGGCACAGACGTTTCAAAAGCGACCTCTTCTCTCCAGTTCATTGATGACAAGCCAGAATTCAAACAGAATCTTGTTCCATAATTTGTATTATAGGAGTCTTTTTCTTAAACTAATATTTTCAGTTAGAAACTGAGCATAGTAAAAACAAACAAACAAACAAACAAACCACAAAGCTGACCCACCAAAGATTGGGCTTGGGAAACAGTAATTTCCTTTGCAATGAGGAGATTTGGATTTTTTGGTTTTGTTTTTGTTGTTGTTGTTGTTGTTGTTGTTGTTTTTTCCCTCCACCTGGTGACCTGCTAGGCTCTTCTACCTTTCGCCTTGCTTCTTACACAGACCATTCGGGGCTCAGGAAACCGGGCAAGAATATTCTGTGATACCACAGAAGGAAAATGTATCTGTGAAAGTATAAAGACCATAGAAGCTAAAGATCGGAGAGCAGGAAGTGAACTTTTGTGTCTGAATCTTACCTCGGAGACACTCTCCCTCCAGAAACCAGGGAGCCCCTAGCAACCAATGGGCACATTGATTTGACGCTCCACCCACAATGCCAGCCAGCCCCAGCCAGCCCCAGCCAGCCCCAGCCAGCCCCAGCCAGATGCACCTAGGTTTCCAAGGCCTGAAAGAGATAGCCCAAATAACGGCCCCAATCTATAGCAACACACTCTTTGTAGGCTTTTTTTTTTTTTTTTTTTTTTAAAGATTCTCACCCTTCAAATACCTGTGGATAACAATTTTTTTTTTTTTTTTTTTTTACTAGAAATTGTATAGTAAATCTCTCCTGGAAATGTATGGAGCACGGATCATACTATCTTCCTGTCCAACGAGTTGTCAGTGCTAAAGGAAGCCCGCGATAGTGCGTTTTTCAACCTGTGAATTGGGGAAAGAGTAACTTTCGGACCAGTAGGTTTGGAGGGAGCCTTTCCTCATTTGGAATATATTCTGTTTCTCTGCTAGGAAAAACTAGCCTCTGGGTTTCAGGGCAGTTTGTCTCTGTCATATTTTCATGGTAGTGTTACCTAAGCATGTGGAAATAAGACACATACAAAGAGACTCCCATTTATGTTCAGCGTAGTAGGTGGCTGGTGCGGTGGGCAGCGCAGCCTTCGATGGATAAAGAGCGGAAACCATGTATCCGCCGGCCAGTTTCTGTCTGCCTTGTTACCTTGATTACCGGTCCCTAGACAGGGAATCCAGTTCCTCCTCTCCTAGGACAGCCTTCCCAGTCAGTGAAGAGGGCGGAGCTGGCTTTGGTGCTGGGCCTCTCAGCAGAGGAACAGAGAAGCACAGCTCATCTCTGGCATCATCAAGAAAATGTACACACTTAGGCAATAGATGGCAGTGTTTCCACAAATTTTAATATTGCAGTGGCTCTTACGGGAAGCCTGGTGCCCAGCCCGTCGGTAGCTCGCCGTGATCGTATAGTGGTTAGTACTCTGCGTTGTGGCCGCAGCAACCTCGGTTCGAATCCGAGTCACGGCAGGAATGAGGAGGCTTTTGGAAGTAAAAAAAATAAATAAATAAAAAATAAAAATGTGGCCACATGCTGTATGGGACCCAAGCCACATTTTTGCAAACAGACAGAGAATACTGAACATCGATAAAAACAGGAACCAGCACAAATACTTTAAACTTTATGAAGATGATGTCTGTACAGTTGCTTTATTAATGCACCAATCTTGCTGCTAGTGTGTTGTATGGGGATTTTTTTTTATTTGCATTGACGGATAATATGATAAACCTGGAGTGTAGTGGGCATGTAATTATTATTAATTACAACTACTTAAGCTGTGCTTTGAGCAGACTCGTCAAGTCTGCTTGCTTTTGAGCCTTGCCAGGGCTATACAGTAATAACAGCCCTGAATTATTTGGAAAGATGTCAGCAGGAGATGTGGAAATCCTGTTTAACCAGGCATGAATTGTTGTTAGGAGGGTTTTTTTTTTTTTTTCCAGGATGACAGAGAGAAAATGAACTGTCCCTTATCAGTAATTGCAGGAAACATTTTGTTTCTATGATATGAACTGGCTGTAATTTAACTTTCCTGCATCATTGGATAATGTAAGAAGCCAGTTGTTGCTCAGAACGAAAATCTCTGAAGTGGGCATTTGGGTCTGATAAAGGGCATATTATAAGTAGACAATAGGGCTCAAGCCATAAATAATGTCCATATATGGCAAAACTTTTTTAATGACATTTTCCAAAAGACTGGGGTTTGTATTGTAAGTGGCTAAATGTTGAATTAATGTGGGTGACATGGCTTTAATGGGCCTTTTTCCAGGACTTAAAAACATGAACAATACAGCCTGAAAATGTCAACTGTAAGTGTGTTAGAATGAGGTTTTACTGCTCCCCAATTGTAGCAGTCATGTTTTAAATGAGGGACCACTAGAAGATTCTAATGCCCTGGTGCCTGTCTCCTTAATAGCTTAGCAACAGGGTATAGAGTTTATACAATGCTAAAAAATTTTTTTTCAATTAAAAATATACAGGGTTGATCAAGTTCTTACAGAGCCAGTGAGTTCTTGCAAATAATATTCCAGGAGCACTGGAATAAATACCATTCCTCCCTTTTTAGAGCTAGCAGTCGCTGTTTGATTATGAACCTAAAAACACTGGCCTCAGAACACCATGTTATGAAAGCAGTAAAATGTGTTTACTGTCCCCTCCAAGAGTCTTTCTCAAGACCGTTTCTCACTCCGAAATCTCTTCTTCCTGCTGACTCCCCTCCCGGCTTCCTCCCCTCTCTTCCCACACTTTTGCCCACTTCTCCAAAGGCCCTGGCCGGGTCTTCACCTCAGGTGTGCACTGCCTTCTCTGCCTGCCAGCACTAATAGGACTTCAGGATGACACCGGCGTGCAGATCTCCCGTTAAAACAGGAGCAGCCCATCCGGAGTTCTTTGTATTTCAGTAAGTGACCGAGAGTGAGGTGAACTGCTCATTTGAGGAAGGGTCTTGTGTTCATCGGAATTCAGTGGTTGCAGGCGACGGAAACTCAGTCTGTGCACTGGAGAGACGTGACCAAAGCATAGGTTTAGGGAGCTTCAGGCACTATCGGGGCCAGGATACCGAAGAGAACCAGCGCATGCTGTCTCCATCTCATATTTCTTCCTGAGCGTCACTGTATTTCTCTGAAAGTCACTTCTACGTAGCTGACAATGAGTCGGGTCCTGCCCTTTATATCTCCAGCATTGCCTGCAATGGGGATCTCCTCTTTTTTCTCTTCCAGAATCTTGGGAAGGATGAAATAGGCTTTATCTCTAGTCAGAGTCCATCGGCTGTGTCATGTGGACAGTCATAGAACTCAAAAGAGAGCCTTTACGGTATCAGGAGGGTAGTCTCAGAAGGAGAACACTGACAGTCTTGGAGCCGCTACCCTCTCTCCCTGCTCTGTGGAGAGCATCAATGGCTACCTGTCTACTTCCAGAAACCCGTGAGTTTGCCTCCCATACCACTAGTGGTTTTTTTTTTTTTTTTTTTTTTTTTTTGTCTATTGGTTACTTTTCACTTTTCTACCCCTGTGATAAAAAGCATGATCAAGGCAACTTATTGGACAAAGAATGTATTTGGGGCCTATGATTCCAGAGGGATGAGTCCATCACGTCATGGCAGAGAAGCAAAACAGCTGAGAGCAATCATTTGAACCAATAGCAGGAAACAAGGAGAGCCAACCGGGAATGGCACCTGACTTGTGAAACCTCCAAGCTCATCCCCAGTGACATTATTCTTCCTAACCTAACCAAACAGGGCCGCCAACGGGTACTGGGTATTTACATGCTGAAGAATATGGGGGGCATCTCATTCAAACCACCGCAACTGCCTCGTGGTAAATGAAAGCAGTGGGCAAGAGTAAGAATATAATCCGCCTGGGCCTGACTTTGAGCCTCAACACAGTCAGAGCAGTTGCCTAAACAGACAGCATTTCAAAGTCCCTCTTCTGTGTCTTCACCAGAAGGGGGCCTTCCTGCACCGATGATTGGCTGGCTCTCTGCCAGGGAAAACTGCCTACGTGGGCCAAGTTGTCGATGCCGTCACATGAAGAGTGGTAGGTGACTGTGAGAATGAAAAGAATAACGTACCCACAAATAAGAACCACTTAACACGAGAGCGCATATGGAAGGGCAATGCTGGGATTCGTCTACAGCACCAACCCCCACCCTATCCTTCCAGGACCACTCAGGGCCCTCAGGCACCATCCAGCCTCCCTTGGTAGAACCCCCAGAGCGAGCTTCTGCTGGGAAAGGGGCTCCACGCCACAGATTTCAGAAATTTAAAAACTATGATACAGTCGACTCCAAAGCCAGGGCAGCCCAAGTCGGGATCCCCAGAGTGGCTGCATCTATACTCACGTCTGCAGGTCCCTGCTTTTGCCTCTTTGTGTGGTTTCCATGACTGAACACCACGGACAATCAATGGCTGCTTTCAACGGCTTCTTAACAGTAGAGTTCCTTCTTGCTGTTCTGAAAAGGTGTCAAGTGTTCACTCCTAAAAACAAATTGATGTGAAATTTGTTTTCAGAAATATTAAAGGCTAAGTTCTGAGAGGAAATGAATTCTCATTTTTTTAATGACATTAACATGGAGATACTACCTGCTTCAATTTTTACTGAAGCATTTTTACAAATATCAAAAAGACCCCATTATTATCTCCATGTTTTCATAGTTTATATTTCACTTTCCAAGGACAGGTCCGTATTTTATTTAAAAAAAAAAAGCCAGAGTTTGCAAGTGAAATGGGTAACTGTGATATAATGTTTCAAAAATTATCTAATTATTTAAAAAAAGAAAAAAGGCTATAGTTTTTAATTAGTGACATTCTTTTACTACTTTGCATGGAGTCAACTACAGTAGCAAAGAGTATTTATTTAATTGTTGTTAATCTGACTTTTATAAAACGTTTCATTTTATTTATTTTTTATTTTTTTATTTTTTG